GTTTTTGTCTTGAAACTTTAGAGGTTAAAATAAATGTCTAAGCATACTGGAGGTCCTGTGACAGAACTCTGTATCTAGCTCAATATAATCTCAAACAAGATAAAATTGCTAAAGAAGATGTGGCAAGTGACATTTTAGCTAAATTCACACTACATGGCTCTCAGAGTTGTCAAATCATTGTACTGTTCACACTACACAACTTCTGTTTTCACACTATGTACCAGACCAGTGACGGGCTCACACACTACAAGATCTTTCATCAGGAGGAATCCCAGATGAGTGTGTCATGAAATGCGCGGGTCCAACTACAACCAGGGGTCCTGGGGGGGTGGGGAGGCTTGGCTTTAATAGAAAATATCAAAGTCAAAAAGTGACAAAGCAGCATGAGGCTAGTTATCAGGCTCATAATTTACAGAAAAATTGAAGGCAATAGTCCACCTTCCATCTTATCCTCCCCTCTCTCTCCCTCTCAAACCCACAAACACAGCATGGAAAGCGCTGCAGCACCGCTCGTCTCTGTCCTCAACACGTGTCTTGCACTCTCATTGGTTGTAGCTTGCCGACAAAGTCCCCAGCAGGTCCAGATGTCTGTGATGAATCGGCGAGCCTCTCTGCTTACATCTTTGAGCAGCTCACACAAAGTGCTTGAACACCAATTTGCGAGCACCGAGCAACTGCCGATTTGGCTCTGATCTGGGGCTTTTATTGGGAAGCTCCAAAAACTGTCCACAAGCATGCTCTAGTGTAGGCATTACCTGAATTAAATCAGACAGCACCAGATAATCCAACCAATACTCAAAACAAGTCAGAGTCATTTTTAAATCTAAATATAAGATTATCTCAGTAAGAAATACAGTTTTTGCAGTGCATCAAATGAGAGGAGTATTTTGGAGGCAGTCACAAATGACATGTTTTGTCACTTGCTTTTGTCTGTATGGTGAGTCCAGTGCGCTGTGCTGGCATCAGATGATGCAACCCAGTGAAACGTGGCTGGTCTGTGTCGTCCATAGGCATTTCTAGGGCAGGCTCAAAACTGGAAGTTACTGTCCTGATTGCCTGCATGAACGTAGAACCGGACCCATGTCAAGATAGACTTTAGACATATGACTTAACTCTCAATCAAAATCATGCTCACTGATGTTAACCTGCACCTGTGTGGGTTTCTAGCACAGCTCATCTATTCTGGGAGAGTCAGTGTTTTCCATTGAATCTTAATACCTTAGCTCATATATAATGGAATGTGTGAACATCTTTTAAAAGCCATGTACATATACTTAATGCTTAAATATTAAGAGTTTAAATTGATAAAGGGCCAGCTGGATGGTACTTGTATAGATGTTTAATAAAGCTCGGTCTGATGGAAAATAGAGGACAGCGTGAATAAAAGATATTAAAGACATTAAGGATAATATGTTTGGACACCGAGGCTGTTATTGTGAAGCTCCGTCTATTGTACCACTGGGTCATTATGCAATGAGAGGGAGAGAGAGGAAGATAAGATATACCTAACATCATCCCTCAGGGTAATGATGCAGGGTGGTAAGGATGAAGAGGAGGAAAGAAAGGAGGAGGAGGAGGAAGGAAGGAAGGAGGCTGGGAAGAGAGATGGACAGAAGCAAGTGCAGAGACAGGGAAGGACGGGCAGAGGAAGAGAGTGGGAAGAAGTGAGATGATAGAAACACAAGAGGAAGGAAATGCTCAAAGATGTGGACAGAGATTAAAGTAAAGAGGAAGAGAGACACTGGAGAAATAGAAGAAAAGAAAGCAAGAGATAGTGAAAGATAGAAAACTTGCTATGTTGGAATAAAGACAAATAAAAAGAGAGGAAAAGAGAAAATTGGAAGGATAGATGAAGTTAGACAAGAAGAGAAAAGAAAAGGAGGCAGAGACAGACAGACAGATAGACAGACAGATTGGTTGGTAAACCTGGAAAGAGACAGAAAGACAGAATGAAGGAAGAAGAGGTGAACACATGGGAGCGGAGGTAGACAGGGAATTTGAAAGTGGAGGGGGCAGAAGAGATAGAGGAGGAGTTTGTGTGTGTGTGTGTGTGTGTCGGGGTAGGAGGAGAGGAGGAGGAGGAGGAGGAGGGTGGGTATCCCGTAGGGTTAATTACATCTCTGTTCTCTGTCAGTGCGGCTCTCTCCTCCGCGATCTGAGTCCCTGCTGCAGGCTGACAGGCCACACACACACACACACACACACACACACACACACACACACACGCACATAAACACAGATAAATACACACACTTCCATGCACACTCAAATATCACGACACACAAAAAGAAATGTTCTCTGTCTCCTCCTTTTTGTCTTTCTGTCATTATTTCTCTCTCTCTCTCTCTCTCTCTCTCTCTCTCTCTCTCTCTCTCTCTCTCACACACACACACACACACACACACACACACAATAACACACCGCAGTCTGTCCCAGGGGGTCCTGCGTTGTTCTGTACAGAGAGTTATACACGAAGAAGAGGGCCCTTGCTCGTAATAGCTGTTAATTTTGCATAAATCATGCATAACATGACCCACATGTAAATCACTCATGTCAGCAGGATATCACATCCCAACAGCTCCGTCTTCTCCTTCTCCATAGGAAACAGCAGCAACTTCCATTTTCATTGTTTTGTCTCAGCTCCTGTGTTTGTCTTTGACTCCTGAAGATGAAAGATGGACGTAGTTCCAGTGTGGGGAAAATCATGATCACTTTTCCTGTCAGGGTTTATGAAGAAAAAAACATTAATATTTTGGCATCTTCATCGAGGTTGTATAACTTATTATTAATAGATAAAATACATCATAGCAGTCTTTGGATCTGCACGTCTTGACTTGTGTGCCATTGATCTCATCTTTGTGCCAGTAGGAGAAGTGTGAGCTCATGTTAAACTGTGGGTTATACGTGTATGTGTGATGGCTGTTTGATCATTCACTGGAGATGTCTGACTGTGTATGCATTCTGGTCTATTGAGGCTTTTTCAAGTTGCAACATTTGAATCATTGTGTCATCTTTTTGCCTTGTCCTTGAAGAGCACATTTCCTGTGATTAGTAATTGGGAGTGTTTTTGCATTTATTTAAAAGCAGTATGCAGTAAGAAAAAAACGGATAACATGTGGAGGCATGCAACAAAGGTTCCCAACCAGATTCAGTCCAAACCTCAGAGAAAAACAGCCCTGTCTTCTAGAAATTACATTTATACACAACTAATGAGACTACAGCTAAGAAACTAAGAAAACGCAATTACGAGGACAAGGAATCGTTGCAAATTGATGTATCTGGCAAGTTGCAAAAATGTTGCTAATGTCTCGGTCAACACAAAACTTGGTAAGTGCAAAAGTTGAGCCAGCTGTAACACTGTTCTTTTGTAAACTCAGAGATGATATTTCAAAAATCACAGTGTCTGCTTTACGTTTGGCCAGAAAAAAAAACACAACCAAACAACAGCCATAGTTCAGTGTTTCAAGGCGGATTTTCTTTTACACTTCAAAAGGATAGAACAACTATCAGCGCACCGTCACAGCAGTTGTCTTCTTGATTCAGTATTCAAAAGGAAAGTTGATGAAACATCAAAGTGCGTCTTGTGAAGTCTGAAGATCCCCGTCTTCAATAAATGAGCCTTCTGCACATATAACATGACAGGTCGTGTAATCCTCCTGACAAATCAGTAAATCTCCCTGTTGTTTGCACCTTTGTGGCTCAATCCCTCTGAGACGTGTTCCTCAGAGCCACGGCCTGCTTTATTAACTAGTTTTTCCTTAATTAGCTAATAGGATTGTTTTAACCATGATCCAAGAACAGAATAGCCCACGGGAAGACAAACACCAACTCTGTGGAAGTGTATGTGTGTGTGCACAAATGTGAGATTGGATATGTGTGCCTGCATGTATCCTCAGCTGTGTGACTCAATGTGCAATTGCATGTGTGTGAATGACTCAGTGAGGTGTGTGTGTGTACGAGTGCATGCTGGGTGTGATTCAGTGTTGCATGCGTGCAGGAACTTCTGTTTGTGTGAGATTGAGCCTATTTGTGTGTGAGCTCATGCACGTGCGTGTGCGTGTGTCATCTAAGGCACCACAGTCTCCTTCTCTGCCTTAATTAACGCGCCTTCTTGCAAGACTTTCTCTGGAATATGAAAGAATTTTACCTGATGATGCAAACGGCTGAAAACAGCGGCGGGTTGGTGCCTCGCCTCCTCACCTGACACTTTCTCTTTATGCGAGAGCGTTAATGTATGCTGGCGCTACATTTGTAGTTTTTATACCCATGTATTTTAGCGGCACTGCAATAGCCAAAAGGCTTATTTTGCTGGAGGAAATGTGTGTGTGTAAGCAAAATCCTTTGTACTGTGTGATGAAAAAGAGCAGGCTGTATCACAGCTTGGCAATGATGTTCTCGCAACACGAGCGCACTTACACATCCGTGCAGGCACACACACACACACACACACACACTTTCACTCACACATACCCACGCAGAGACACACATAAGCCTCAGTAAAGTCCAGGGAAAACTTGAAAAGGGGGCAAGAAAGAGACAAAACAGAAGCAGAAGGCACAGAGGAATGACAAATATGCAAATTCCAGCAATGGAGCTCAGGGCCCAGTTAAAAAGAGAAATGATTAAAATGATTTTATGAAGTATAATATGTGAACTCTCGTGTGTCCCTCCATTCAGCCAGTGCATATGTGCATAAATGCAGGCAATTCAATTCAAAACCTTACCGTCCCGTAAGAGGAATTTCACTCACAGACAGGGTTTATATTAAAACACACTCACAATAAAAAAAAACATAATAAAAAAGGACAATAAAAACACCATATACACAATAAAGACACATAACAAATCACCCCAACAGCCTCCATATGGACAAGCACAAGTCGATAAGACCGTTGAGGGACTGTGTAGCTCGATACAGTGCAATAAAGGATGGCAGCTCACGGCCAGGTCACAATGAAAGGAACTTAAAATTGATTTCCCTCTCTGTCCCTCTGTTGCAGTGTGGTGCATTCGCTTCTCGCAAGAGCCTGCGGACCAGTCAGTGGTACTGGGAGAACGGGTGGTGTTGTCCTGCGTGGTCTTCAACTACAGCGGCATTGTCCAGTGGACCAAAGATGGCCTGGCTCTCGGCATCGGAGAGGGTCTACGAGGTGAGGCAGGGGAAAGAAATCCTGTAGTGGGAGAGAAAAAAAAAACCTTGCAGCTTCACCAAGCTGCAGGGATCAAAGTGAAGTGAAGAAGGGGAATAACTCAGCCACGGTTTCGGTTCAGTTTTGACTCTAAGAACCCTGACAAAAGCTATTATGGCTGAAAAGTGTAGGGGTTTTTAACATTAAGGGAATGAACACTGAACAGAGAGAGAGAGAGTTAAGAGCCAAGAGGCGTATGAGTGACAATCGGGGCAAAAATGAGTCCTGTATATCATGCTGAATTAGAGAAAATCCCTCACACTGCTGACAAAAGCAGACGCACATTCGCATTTACATTTTAAGCCGACACGCACATCCAGTATGACTTGCTGTGAGTGCAACAGAAGAATACACTTCATTTCAGAGATAGGGAAGCATCACATGCAACAAAAAGTGAGCAGAGTCAAAGGGTCATAGCCACAACAGACAAAGAAGAGTTCTTTTCTGCATTAAGGAGATGGATCTGAGGAAACTCAGAAGTGCAAGAGTAAGAAGCGCAGAGAAGAAGAAAAGTAAAAGTGTCCTTCTCCACTGACCTTCAACCTCGTTTTACAAAAAATATTCAAACAAGCTTCTGACTATTGTGGCTTACTGTTTGCTGGTATTGACATCTTATGACTGCAGCTGCTGATAGCTCTTACTCTTTGCCCAGACACATTTTGGCAAATATTTCTGAATAAAAAGTGTCTCAGACTTTTATCTGTTGAAAGGTGAAAGCAACATCTCAGAAACAGAACTGTCAAACTCTGCTGAAGGATGGTTATTAGGGGCTCTCTTGAACAGCTTAAAAAACTTCCTTAATATTGTTTTATCACCTTGATACTTCACTTATAAGACTTGCTTATAAATTTGATTCTGAGCAAATGAGTAGTGGTTAGAAGTAGTGGTGGAAAAAGCACTCAGATCTTTAAGTTAAATAAAAGCTGCAGTACAACTGTGCCAAAAATACTCTATTAAGTAAGTGTCATGCATGTTTTTAAATGTAAAATTAGACAAATATTTACTTCTAAATGTACTCAAAGTACCAAAGTTACAAGTACTCAAAGAGTTAATTTGCAAAAAACAAACCAAAAAAAGATAAAAGCCATTCTTTGACTGAATAAACAACACTAGTTTGATTGATATTCCCTTGAGTACAAAACACAATCATGGTTTGTGAAAACTATGAAAAGAAATTTGAAAAAATATATCTCTTGTCAAAGCAAAAATTTGCAAAAAGCAAAAATGCGATTGATATTCCCTGGATTGGACAAAAAAACATGATTTAGTATAAGAAATTATAACAGAGATATTTGTTTTTCCAAACGTCTATTAATGCCTGAATGCCTACGAATGGGGGGTAGCATTTCACCTCCAAGCCAACTGGTATCAGCTCTCTTCGCCTTTTTTTAGTCTAATAAATAAACAAACACTTACTTTCAGCAGAAAAATACAACTGACTTCCATCTTCCATCTTTCTGAATTCAGGTTTCTCTCTTTCATCGAACTGAGTCAAGCTTAATTGGCTTGTGAACCCATCGTAAAACACATTTAATTTAAACTCGACAGAAACAAAATAAAACTTACTAAAACCATCTTGGTTAGCCTTTCCATTGTTCCAGCAATCACTAACTTTGATTTGGTTGAAATGAACCTGTAATTCTCAGAGTTAGATCATTTTTGTGGGGTTTCTTTTCTTGTGCGCTGTGAGGGTCCAAGGATAGAGGTTGTCATGTGTAAAGCCCTCTGACGCAAATTGTGATTTGTGATAATGGATTTATAAATAAAACTGAATTGAATTGAATGGAATTGAATTGAATGGAATTGAACTGAATTGAATTGAACTGAATTGAATTGAAAATATGTTGGTTGTATATGCTCTCCTTCCCCACTGCCCCCTGAGCAGCAGTTCTTACTTGTTCTTTGGAGGCAGATCATTTAATTAGCAAAATAAAATGACAAACAATCCCCCCAAAAAACAATCAACGGTGTACTAAGCTCATCTACATGGCGAACCCTATTAATGAGCCCTTGGAGCAGCTCTACTTCTTTGTCAGATCATGTTGGACAGAGGGCAGACTGGAAGCTTCAGTGACTCACTATCACCTCTTGACCAACAAGTGGTGTTATGGGATAGGATGGGCCATGACTAGCTGGTTAGAATATTCAAAGCTAAATTTCTGGCCATATCTTACACATTGCACCTTTAATATTGCAGCAGTGTAGTATCGGCAAGAGCCATCGACGGATCCCAGCTAGTCCGAGAGTGAGAGCGATGTTTTAGCCTGGCTACATTTTACAATGCTAATTGCAAATGTTAGCTGGGCTGCCGGACTACTCACCTAACACAACCGTAATACCTGCCCCATTGCTGGGACCGAGCCGAACCCATGCTACGATTGTAACATGAAATTTAATTGAATCAACATAGTGACATGTGCCTAATGTTACTGTAACACTAATTTAAACAGACATTTGACTTTATGTTGTTACTTAGCCTACCTGTCCAGGAGAAGAAGAGCTAGCTCCGAGTCAGATTGTAGCCCCTTTAGCTCTCGTAGTGCTCTCCACCTTGGAAATGCAAGGCCAATGTTAATCCGGGTTCTGTCCCTTTCTTTATCCGACAACTTCTTTGCCAACGGCCGTTGTTTCTTTAGAGGTAATGTCGGATCCTGGTCATCTTCAGGTGGACGTTTCGTTCCGCTCTCCGCCATTTCGCTTCGAAAATACACGCTGCCATTGCTCACTGGCTGTAGCCTTTTATAGGGAGGGAGGGCCAAGGGCTCCGAGAGGAGGGAGGAGGCAGCAATTCACATGAACGTCCATGAACGCGCAGCCGGACCAGCTTGTAAACAAGGGGTTGGAGATCAACACAGAGAGAGGGTGTGTGAGGTCATGCTATACTCCAGATGAAATTATACCTCTAGTTCAATTTTTTAATTCCTTCAATCTAGAAATGATGAATTTCCGCTTATTGCCCCTTTAATCAAAAACAAGCTGCATATGGCAAGTAAAGAAGACTGGCAAATAGCAAAAATGGGAATTTTGGTTAATAATCTGTGAAATCCCCCTTTTTATTTTTTAATTGTTTGGTTTCATTGTTTTAAATCATTATCTGTCAGTGGATGAAGACTATCAATGGCATCTGATATCTTTGATGCTAAGCACATTGCTTTTGTGTTTCTGCTCTGCCTGTCAATCAAACTGTGACAAGGACTGTGCCATCATGTGGATCTTAGATGTGGCGTTGGTGCGGTTAAGTTTCAGTCAGTTACACAACAAGGACTCAAACACAAATGCCATCCGAATACTACTAAACTGTCCCATTTTTTTCTGAAGAAAAACTCATTAGACAAATCTTTCATTACCCACATGAAACCCTATCTGAAAATCATTCTGCGATAAAGGGTAAAACACATTTATTTCTATATGAAAATGTCAGATATTTACTTTAATGAAAAAATCTAACAATATACTCAACAAAATGTAACATTATAAACGATAAGCACATTAGCGCTCACATACTTTGTGCCCTTTCAGCTCTGCACCGCACATCACATTTCTCATCACACTGTAAATGAATCCACAAAGAACAGCACACATTGCACAAACACATCTCACACACACACACACACACACACACACACACACACACAGTCACACAAGTGATAATCTGACATGTGATGTGAATCTTGTGTTCAACTCAATTTAATTCACAGGTTCAGTAAAGGTCAGCACGTCTCTCTGTCTCTCACTCTCCCCCACCCTTCTCTTATTTCCTGCTCCCCGTCTTTCAGACTACAGCTCCATCATCACTTGCTTTATGTATTTCCCAGATCCCCTCCATTGCTTTTCATTTCTCTCCCTCTCCTCTCCTCCCTTCCTCCTCCCTCTCTCTTTATGTCGGTAATGCTCTCTTTGTCCTTGCAGCCTACTGCGAGCATGGTTCTGATGATAAACACACCGGCGTTTGATAAACATGTTGTCCTCTCTGTCTCTTTTCCTCTGCTTTTCAACCATCTATCATCACCTTCTGTCCATTATTTATCCTTAAGTTGTCTGTGCTGCTATTCTTCCCTTCATCCTTGACACACTGTCTGTCAATCTTCTGCTTTTCATGTTTGAAATATAATCAAGAGGTTGTGTCATGTATGGAGGAAAGTCTGTAAGTTGTCAGTATTTGCACTGACAAATCATATTAATTTATTCTGATGTAACAGCATGTTGTTGATGCATGAAATGTGATGTATAAGAGGTTGTTGTTATGCGCCCTGTATGATTTTATACAGCTGTTGATGAGTGTGGGAGTGCAGATTGTGCATTAAATTCATACCTGCAGTTTGCACACCCACCCACACACACACACACACACACGCAGGAGATTTGCGTTCATTCACCAAAAAGCCTTTCAGTATGATCAATGTATAGTAACATGTACATGTACATGTGCATCGTGTCAATATAAATACATAAAACACACATCTACTCACTACCTGCAGGCATTAGTGGCAGTTTATTGTTCGTCCTCAACCTCCTCCTCCTCCTCCTTCTTCTCCTTCTCCCCGGGGTGCTTTCACCTCTGTGGTTGCTATGCTGCGAGGTGCTGGAGTGGATGATGTAATCTCCACTAATACTTTTGTCCCCCCCAACCCAACCCCCCCCCCCCCCCCCAACCTCACCCTCCTTCCTCCTCTCCGCACCCCCCAACTGCTTGCCTGCCTTTGCCATCTGAATCCATGATGTCATGTTAGGATTGGGCACAGAGGATCAATGAGTGCCCCCTAGTGGGACGTCACGCTCAATTATGTCTTTGTCTGAGAGGCAAGGGTTCAAACAGAGAGAAAAGTGTGTGTGTGGGGGGGGTGTTGTAATTGGAACACCGCTGCCTGTAGTTCTGCAGTTTGTGTATCGTACAGGAACTGATGTGGCGTCATTGTATATGTGGCGATGTTTGATCAGTCTTTGTGTAAAAACCCTTCAGCTGTTTATCTCTGACTGTGTTTGCTGTATTGCTGTGTGCTTGTTTATGTGTGTGTGAATGTGTGTGAGTGTTCCTGCATTCACTACCTTCCCCCGTGTTGTTTACGTAAAGGACGTACTTCCATGATCTCCAGAGGATCTGCTTAATGCAAAAAGGTCTTCAGAACCTCTGAAATAAATGCTAATAATGCTAATAATGCTATTTGTGTGTTATGATAAAAAGCTTTGACATTTTCACTAAATACACATCCCATTTGCTGCTCGCTGTCTCTGATTGATTTAATGCAATTGCGATTCAGCTTTTATCCATTTCATGAGAGCTTTTACATCTAATTTATATTGTAAACAAGTCAGGTGTCAGCAGAGCACAGAAATACAGTCCCTGACACTGAATAAAAGATGATGAGTAGATGTATGAATGTTTTCAGTGATTTTCTTTTCCTTTTTTTATATGCTTTTTATGTTCCTTATACTGAAAAACGACGTGATGTGCAGTTTGAAAAATTATGCTTTATACTGAGATATTGAAATAATGATTATGAACAGATTCATATGTTTATACATGATGGATTCATCTGACAAGGATTACTGATAAGAGTTGGCAGTGGGATAAGGTGGTTACCATGGGCTCCAGTACATGCTATTGTGACGGTCCCCTAATGCATGCTAGTTACTAGTTATATGGCGCCCACACACATAACTGGCACCTGTTTATAAAAAGCTTTGCTGCTTTTTCCTCCTGTTTGTTTCTCTCACTTCCTTTCTTATAGCCTATTTTATGTTTAAAAGGCATGACTGCTCGTTGGACTTGCAGATGTGCTCAGCTTGTCAGTCTTGACAGATTTTGCACCTGAACTAGCTACTGTGTTGTATCGCATTGTACCGTATCATATCGTATCATACCGTATCGTATCGCATTGTATCGCATCGTATCGTATCGTATCGTATCACATGATCAAATAAAGACTTGACATTATGGGCTCTAGTTTCGCAGACTGGGCGTGGCGGGGGCGCAGCGCACCTGCGCTTCGCCAACTGGGTGTGGCCAGGTGGATTTTGTAAGTTTGGCACACCGTGCCCTGGTGCAGCTACTCCTCTATCCCACCTCCGTCCCTCCTACCAGCGCAAGTCAGAAAGAGGGAGGAGAGAAGGCGTGGAGTGGGTTTTACACACATCACACCAATCAAATGAGTCCCTCTCCTCACCCTTAAATGCGCCACGTGAAGGCGTAATGAGAGTTTACTCAATTCGCCCTGGCAGAAGAGATCAGCAGCGTCAGACAGCCAAACTCCTTCCAGAAGGAAACTGATGTTTTGGTCCGGGAGGTCCAAGCTCACAGTGTCCAAATATACGGAACTGCGAGCAGTCCTCCACGGGCTGATGATGCAAAGGTAGCCTGGGAGGAGGTCACCACAATTGTAAATCAATGTTGCGTTTCTCTCGCGCGCGTGCTCTCTCTTTCTCTCTCGCAGTCTCACTCTGTTTCTTTTCTTTTGACTTTTCTAAGATGACAGATGCTGAATATATCCTCCCTATCTGATGCTGTGGCTGTTTGTGGTTGGCTGAGAGGGATGTGAACTCATTAGTTTGCAGCTGTGTTAACCAAATCAGGTTGGCACGTTTGGCATTACGCGTGCCAAACGTGCCAAACGGTGCCAATCCCCTTTGATCTGACATCAGATGTGACGGGACAGTCGATATATAGAGATACATTTATGTGCTGATTGCAGATAGTTGCACTGAATAGTGGTTTTGTGGCTATTTATTGCATCGTTAATGTGCCTGATATTCTGGAAGCCTGCCTGTGAGGTTTTGGTGACGTGTGTGCACTGTCTGCCGGTCAGCCAAACTTCGGCTTATACCGGCTGCGCTCCCCCTGCGCTGACAGTAGACCTGGTTTCAGCTGGCGAGCTTTTAGCGCACCTTTGGCGAAGCCTTTTGGCACGAAACTGTCACTGCGCCAAGCTGGATCTGTCGTCACCTCCCCCTGCTGTGCCACCACACCCATCTCAGCGCACCTCGGTCTGCCAAACCACCAAACTGAGCGCGCCTCGGGTTGCGCTGCTCGAAACTAGCTCTGTGCGGGGTTCGCCACCCTGCTCCACCCTGCGCTGCGCCGGGAAACTAGAGCCCTAGGCAACAACAACATACATGTTACCCACCAATCATCATTGCATACCTGTACATGACAAAAAAAAAAAAAATATTTATTTAATTTAACTTTTTTTTATACATATAGCCCATTTTTCTAGTTCATGTAGAATAAGCATATCATTTTGTTATAGATTGCCAAGGACTATTTTACAAAAAAGGAAAGAGTGAAAAGAAAAAAGAAAATCATGGCAGAGAGGGATTTGCATTTTCGAGGGCATATAGCCTTTAGCAAATGGCAACATTTAAAATGTAATGTGAGTTCCTCTTTGAAGACAGGTGCAGTTTGAGGTGGCAGTCTGACTCATTTGCAAGGCCCCCCCACCCTCCCCCCCCTAGGGGCCCCAGTGCAACAGCACTGCCTGTGCTGTCTATATTTATGCCCCTGAGAGTTAGCTTATCGTGTGTATTTTCAAACATATTTTAATTTTAACCCCAGAGGGGTCACATATACCCCCTGTTGAAGACCCATGATTTAGATGAAGTACTTCTTTAAATTAACTACGTCTAACTAAGTCTAATTTATTAACTAAGTAAGTAAGTAAGTAACTAAGTCTTTGCATATTTGATGAGCTATACTTTTCCAACCTAAACTTTCTTGGCAGGAAGTGAAAATTTGGAACAGTTAAAAATTACAGTCAATAAAACAATGTTCCCACAGATTTTAAGACATTCTTCATAACAAGAAATATCATAATAAGTGAAAAAATGCCAGCTCTAAAATGTGAACCTGGGGCTTTTTTCCCCCTGCGAATTTACATTTCCCCTGTGAATCTACATTTTGGTCTTGTTTACTAGATGAGCAGACGGAAATAAAAAGTTTTGCTCCAAAACCTGAAATAAACTTATTTTTTTCAGTGGTACTACCTGAATCTCATCACTCAGTGTTTCTAAAATAAAGATGATATTATCCTCAGACGGATCATTTGTGAAGGCAGTGCTATTATGATGACTCATGAGTGTAATGGCAGCGTGAAGTGTGCCTCTTTCTTCATGCCAGCAATCATTTTTAAAACAGTGGGTCATGTTTTTCCAGGTGGTACCACTATTTTTAAATTACATCCCAGAAGTTAATTTTGTAAACTCGTCAAGCTTTTCTGACCTGCAAATAAACACGCATGACTCACAGTGGAACTAAAACAGAAACTCCAACAAGTGAGTTTTCTACTGGGTGTCTCTCCATCTATTTAACTGTAAACCTGGTGTGTGTTTGTGTGTGTGTGTGTGTGTCTCCTGCAGCCTGGCCTAGGTATCGTGTGCTGCGGGCTCTGGACATCGGCCAGTACAACCTGGAGATCTCCAATGCCGAGCTGTCTGATGACTCTCTGTACGAGTGTCAGGCCACAGAGGCTGCCCTGCGCTCCAGGAGGGCCAAACTCAATGTACTCAGTAAGTGAACTGGCTGCAGATAGAGGGGCCATTTTTCTTTTCAGCCACTACTGTTTGAGGAAAGGACCTTTTCATTCCCGAGTAACTGGAGATGACTATCAAATCAAAGAAGCTTCACACTCAGAGCCGAATTTACAGATGAGCAGTGTGGTTAAAGTGCATGATCAATTTAGATGCACACGTTAAGATCTGGTCCAAGTGGCTCTATGCTGATGACTATATTTGATGTGTCAGTCTTGCACTAAAGCTTTGGGGGTTTTTTTCATCTGTGTCCATCAGCTTCCAAAGCCCATGAGCTTCTTTGGTATGGGAAACAGGTTCAGCTCTCAGATTTGGTTGAAACTTGAGAGAGCTATGTAACTCTTAAGCAAGGCATTCACTGTATCTCCTCAATCTTGTGGAGCTGTCCATCTGACGAGTTACCATGGATATCTTAACATCAGCCATAACATTTAGTGTAAAGTTGCTTTTGACTGTGCAGTACTGATGGTTAGGAGGAATGAAATGTAGAAGAGAAACAAGATGTTGGAGAGGAATTTTGAAATCATAAACTCACAGCAAAGAGGTTCAAGGTCAAGCAGTTAAAACCTCCTGAGGAAAATGCTTGAGAGCAGATTTGGATATCACAACAACATGGTGTTAACTTCATCCTGATTCCCTCAAGAGCAGAACGGCTTAGTATTACATTTTGCTGTTGTATAGTGTATAGTGAAAACCATGTTCTATATTTCCAAGATGTGATCTTTTAAGGAACACAGCTTTGTTTTAAGTCTGATGGTAATGCTACCTGAGGAATCCAATGTGTTTTAGTGATTTTAAGAGGTAGAGCAAGACACTTTTGTTGGCTTTTCTATTTGAACATCACCCAATCTGGACATATTTTGTTCATGTACTGTATATGTACATATTTAGGTGCGTATGCATGAGTGCACACTTGCATAAATGAGTCCTTTTTAAAGCTTGCATTTGTGTGTGTCTCTCCTCCAGTCCCTCCTGAGGACCCGGTGGTCGAGGGAGCCCCGGAGCTCCTGCTGATGGCCGGGACTCCATACAACCTGACCTGTGTGACCCGCGGGGCCAAGCCTGCAGCACACATCCAGTGGACCAAAGATGGAGTCCCTGTGGAGGGGGCCCACCAGTCCACGGTGACTCACACACACCCATGCACACATGCAGATAACAGCAAGCACACATGCGCAAGCCATGCAACATAAAACCCACATAAAACCATGCAGAGATTATCACACTAAAATGAGATCTGCATAATCTCGAAAGCCTACTGGTGGCTTCAAAGGTGTTTTCTAGTACTCGAGTAGTAACAGTCTGCTCCTCAACAGCAGCCATTCTCAGTGTGTTTGTTTGTTTGTTTATATGCTTTTTGCTGCGGGCACTGCAAAGGGGAATTACAGTATGTATACCTCAGGCCACACATCACCCCTGGAGTCTTGCATTAGGGAAGTACAGCATCCAGTGCAAAGTCAGCACAAGACTTTTATGGTTCTTGGTTGACAAAATAATATCTTGGCAGCCGGGACAATATTTATTATATAATGCACTTGAATGCTTACAAATATCAGATTCTGACCTGCTAACCAGTTGGCAGCATCATTTTGCACCTTAAAACCTGGTAGGAGATAATTAACACAGTACATATTTTCAATAGTGGCAATGAAAAGGCCCAAATATCTCTGAAATGCATCACTGGTATCTATTTGCCATATCACACTAATTAACACACTTCAAAGGAAGTATCCTAATTCCTCACTATAAGAAAGCTGCTACTGCTCTGTCCTTGGATGAAAGGCACAGCAGCCACACAAAATGAAATCGACAACAACACAGTTGCACATTTAGTGAAACAAAACCGCAGTTTTGGACCAAGATGAGACACATTAAACTGCAATTTGACAAAACTTTGCAACCTTAAATATCCCTTGCCTGGCTCGGCTAAAGAAGGATGCCACAGTCAACAATGCTGACACAGCAGATCATACATGTTTCATCTGGTAGACGTACATGTGCATATGTTAAAGGAAAAGTGCAACACTTCTTTTAAAGCCAAAAAATAATTACTTGAAAAACAACAGCATGAGTGTCACATCATACCTTTATTGTAGCATTCATTTGTTATGTCTGTTTAGATTTGGGGGTGCAATGTGTTAGTTCAGCCATCCACAGTCAGAAAAACTGTTACTCACTCAATATTTATAAGCTGTTTAACATTCCAGCTGTTTTGTGAATCAAGAGAATCATAGTAATTGTACATTTGGTTTCTCTACATTTAAGAGGTTTTAAAAATGGGGAAAAAGGCAATAATGTTTAGAATGAAACTTGATAGCACCTGCATGGTTACTTGTGTTTTTATTAGGCTGAGGGGTCATTTCACTTCCTGCAATTAAATAAATATACTTCCAGTATTTCATTCTTTATTCACACAAGTGCTGCCTACATACTGATTCTAAAACAAAAATGTGTTTCAATACATCCAAATCACATTTTCATGAGATCATATGGTGGCCATTTAACATACCCAAGTTCCTAGGCCACTGAGTCTGCAAGGTATCCCAGTTTTGACTTTTGCTCCAGTTCTTTTTGTGAACACCTAAAGTACTCACATGAGAGTAGGAAAAACGTGCATGAGATTTATTTGAGATTACAATAATGGCAGGTAAGTCCGTCAATATTACATTATGTCAGGTCCACTACCGACTTGACACCCTCTTCCTATATATTCTCACATATTACAGATTCTGCCTCACTATAACACTGCATACCATGGTCAAAAATTTATATGATATACACCTATGAAGACCTCACATCATCTTTCATGCGCAATGTTGTATAAATCTGTTTTTGTCATACGCACTATATGGCCTTACAGCACCATACCTGTCATCAGTAAAATTTAAACATAACCTCAGGAAAAACTATTCAAAATATACAGAAACTGTAAACTTAAGTAATATCAGAACCTACATAATGTGTCATACCCACACAGACATTATTACCAAGTATAAATATATGTGTAAGTGACTCTTTCAAGTTTTGAACTGACATAATTGATCCAGTGTTTTCCAATACCTGTGTCTTGCGTATGATGTGTGTATAATTACACACCCACTTCAATAAACTTTGTCTTACCAACATTGACCACATGGGAAGAGAAGCACATGTGGCTACAGAACACACACATCCCAGACATCAGCCACTTTACACACATTTTCTGGTCGTGACACAACTTGTGCACAGATCCAAGAGATGTTTAATTAACCCATGTGCACCACCACAGACTCCCTCACACACACGCATACAGGCAGGAACTGTACTAGGTGACACTTAGGATCACAGTGTTACATTCTGCACTCTTTTCTCCCACATTCATACTCTTCACGCTCATGTATACTCTCCTACACACATGAAATTATGCCTGCAAGCACACACACACACATTCACATATGCACACTCATGCTTTCATATGCACAGAGACAGAGCCGCAAACACTGACTCACACACGCTCAAACACAGATGTTTTTACATCTCTTGCAGCCAGTTCTCTGCCCCCCACACATGCTCATACATATTACATGCCGCTCTTATATTATCGTGTTACTGACCACGCATTTACACAGCAGTGAAGGCTGTACACACTTTCTTGACAGATTTTGAAGCTGCATTGCAAAGCACCCCACCTCCAGAATCCAACCAGACTGGATTCTGTTCTTATTGTGCAGAAAAAGATTTAAAGCTTATGGGAATTTCTTTGGCTGCAACAAGGAGTTATTTTTTCTTACTGTTTCATCTATCAATTATTATTATCCAATTAATAACAAAAATCTTCAGTCTGTAAAATGTCAAAAACTGTGAGCAATGCCCATCGCAAATTCCCAAAAGCCCTAGATATCGTCATAAAATTGCTTCTTCTGTCTGATCAATTAACCAAACCCCAAATATGTACAGTATTTCATCTACAATGATACAAAAGTAAGAAAAGTAGCAAAATATTTTTTTTAACTGATTAAACAATGAAATGTTTTAGCACTGCTGTGTTTCTTTTCTTATTCACAGAAGTATTCAGCTCTTATTTTGAATGCAAAGTCCAGTATCATTATAAAACTGAATTGCTTTCAATAATTGAAAGAACATTTGCAGACAGTTATTTTCCTGCACCAACATTAAACATCTGAACTGTGGTGATAAAGTACAAGAACACAGATTTCTATAAAATTTCTCCTTCAAGCTGTTTCTCCTTTGTACTTTTTTTCAGTTTCTGACTTTTTCCTCCCCTGCATCATGTCTAAAAATGTTGTTGATTTCTACCTACAGACTGCTGTTTCTATTTCCACATTATGCTATTTCTTTACCTCTCTTGGCTCCATTAGTAACCCTCCTATGTCTCTCTCCTTTCTCCTCCCCTTCTTCTCTCCTGTTTCTCCCGTGATATTTCCCAATCCCTCCTTTTTTCGTCCTTTTCGTCCTTCCCCATCCATCGCGCTCCTCCTCCTCTTCTTTGATCTTCCTCCGTCTGCTCCCCTCCCTAAATTCTACCCACAACCATCCTCTCCTCTCCTTTCTTTTTTCTTTGCCGAACAGGAAGTGCTACCAGACAGAAAGAGGGTGACGACCAGGAGCTACCTGCCCATCACACCTATCGACACTGACAGCAGCCGCAACTTCACCTGTGTGGCCAGCAACCCGGCGGTGCCAATGGGAAAACGAGCCACTGTTATGCTCAATGTCCACCGTATGTTGCCCCTTTTTTTCCAGTGTAAAGGTGTGGTGGGGTTGTTTTTGTGTGGGCATGTAGGAAAATCATGCAACAATTTTTAAATAAGTGCCCCAGGAATGGTCATCTAGAAGTAATTACTATCAAAAACACAGCACATAAGTTGTGTTTGTGACTTTACAGCCATGATTTTTTTTTACCATTCTCAGTCTTGCGCTTGTTCCAGGTTTGACTTAGCTGTTTGCATTGCTTTGGCACCATCTCTGGAGCCAGTAATTTTCTCCCAAAGCAGGTTGATTTTCTTCAACATCTGGAAAACCTGATATTTGTTGTGTTTTAAGGGATTTCAATTGTTTCCCTGAAGAAAGAAGGAATGATTTCTGATAGGGAAACTTTAGTTTGAATTTTCAATCAAGGAGATTGATGTGTTTTTTCAACCCAGTGTTGTTACTAATTACTGGGAGAATAACTGCAGCAACAGTAAAGTGTAGAACCAGTGCAGTGTTAGTACAGAAGGCTGTTTTGTATACTAGATTTAATGTGAAATTTATAGTTTGTGTGACTTATTTGTGTGGGAAATCAATCCCCATGCTGCTTGGCACAGCTTAAAACACAAGTCATTCAGTTTATCTTCAGCTGTACATTGAATGTGAATCTCTTCCTGTGTAGACCCTCCTATGGTGACCCTGTCCATCGAGCCTCGCTCTGTCCTGGAGGGCGAGAGAGTCACCTTCACCTGCCAGGCCACTGCCAACCCTCCCATCATTGGCTACAGGTCTGAATAAAATTAGCCTTAAATAGAAAATCGGAGTTCACTTCAATACCTAAAAACTCTGCTATTTATCAAACAAACGCTTTGTAACTTCTCACTTTGACAGCATTGCTAAAACTTTAGTTCAGGATGTGATGGACTTTTTGATGGCGGTTAAGGTTTTTTTTTTGAGACAGTGTTCCATCTTATACCTGCAGTCCAACATCAGGAGCCAGATTGCAATTCAGTTTAATGCCAATAGATTTTCTTTCATCTATTCCAGTCTGCTTGTTACTACCATCTGGAGGCAATCCTGAATTGTAATTTCTGCTTGCAGAACAGAATTGGTGAAAGTATTGAACGTTTAAACAATTAGACACTGACTTTAATCTTAAGTGACAGCACTGAAGCACTGGAATCGCTAAATGCTGGACTTAAACACGGTGGTTTTAATCTGAGGTTTGAGACTCCACCAGAGGGTCCCAGTGTGGGAGCACTGCCAGGCACTTAGGCACTAAGCCTATTGAGTGTATATTAAAATGTCATCTAATGGCAGATGTGCAGTATGGTTATATGATTTTGAGCTGAACAGAAATTAAGAGGAATGTATTTCTTTACCTTGCAATCATTCCCTCAGGTTTTGACATCAAGGCTTTTTAAATTTTAGTTTAATAGCTTTAATTGATAATATAAAAACACTCATTGTCTAGTAGTGAAAATCTACATTTGGATCACCACCAGAAAATTATAAAAACCCATTATGCTTTTGAGATCTCCTGCTGGCAAACTGACATAACAATGATTTGTAATGCCTGAAAACTTGTTAAATGGTGATGTGTTTCTACGTCAGGTGGGCAAAAGGTGGCGTGCTGCTGGAAGGGGCCAGGGAAAGTGTGTTCGTTACCACAGCAGATCACTCCTTCTTCACTGAGCCTGTGTCCTGTCAAGTTTTCAACGTTGTGGGAAGCACCAACGTCAGCATCCTGGTGGACGTGCACTGTGAGTAGAGTGCAAACACTCCTGAGCTGAGTGGGACTCTGATGATATTTATGTGCTCTAGTAACTATATTTGTCAGTAGCTGTTTGAAGAGCCATGCTGCATTTATTTTGTTACTACACAGTATTCATGCACTGTGCAGAATACATTTGCAATAGATGGTTAATGTGTAATCTGTTCTCTCAGGTTAGTCCAGTTCAATTCAACAAAGCCTTATGGCATTTATTGTCAAAGCCTATATACAGTATAAACAGAGTAAGTATTAACGATAGTACATGGAATGGAATGATAACTAGTACTGAAAATATTTAGATACAACAAACAAATAAATTAAAAACAAATGTACAAAATCAGAAAAGGAAAGTCAAACATCATGTCCATTATGGTATATAGAATTAAAGGAGAAAGAGGAAAATGTACCATAAAACATATCTTTTTTTAAGATACTGGATAATATATATTATATTTTGCTCCTAGATACATTTAAAGTTTTAAGTTCTCTAAAGGTGTGTTCAGACCAAAGACAAAGCAAATTTACACCTCCCAAATACAGCCACTGGAGTAAATGGTAAATGGACTTTGACTTGTATAGTGCTTTTCTCGTTTTCTGACCACTCACAGCACTTATTACACACACTGGTGGCTGAGGCTATCATACAAGGTGCCACCTGCGACTCCGTTTTTTAACACACTCACGCACAGATGGAACAGTCAATGGGAACAGTATCTTACACAAGAATACTTGAGCAACGACATGCGGACTGGAGGAGCAAATCCTCCGATTGGTGGATGACCCACTCTATCCTCTGAGCCACAGCTGCCCAACCATTCGCTGAAATCAATAACAAATACATACTTTCTGAACTTACCATGTAGGTCTACTGCTTCTCTCACTTTTCTCCAAGCCCTCCCTTTTTTGTTTTGTCTTTGTACAATACTGACATTGAATTGTAGTGCCGGGTGGCCACAGATGGCGACAATGAGTTTGCCCTTCATTTCTGATTCTCTGTAAAGTCAGGTGAATTTTACCACTGATAGGTTCACAAGGCACAGTGTGACATTCTTTTTTTTGCTTAAGTTGAAACATTTCAACAAGTTTTTACACGTATTTACATCTATTTTTGTTTCCTGGTGCGAATGTGTCTATTGATCTTTGCATTGACTTTGTATGTAATTGCAGTATGTCAAAATATTGATCACATTTGGTCTGAACACACCTTATTAAGTTCTACATAAAATTTGGTCCAAATTTGAAGTAAAACACATACACTTTTTGATATTGCTGGTATTCTATTAAAAAAGACAGTGTTGCAGCCACTTGGTAATTAACAAGTCTGTATTTCATTAAAGGTCCAGTGTGTAGGATTTAGGGGTATCTATTGGCAGAAATGTTATATAATATTAAAACTATGTTTTCATTAGTTTATAATCACCTGAAAATAGCTATTGTTGTTTTTTCATTGCCTTAGAATGAGCCATTTATCTACATACATTAAGGGGCCTCTTCCACAGAGTCTGCCATTTACTACAGTAGCCCAGAATGGACAAACCAAGACACTGGCTCTGCATAGGGTCATTAGCATTCATAGTTGTCCTATACACTTGGCACATGTGATAAATTTCAGTTTCAGCCTGCAACCTCACTGCTAAATGTCACCAAACCCTACACACTGGATCTTTAAAATGTGTCTGTGCACAGGGGTTTTAATTTACATATGCTCTTTCAGTTGGCCCAATACTGGTAGTGGAGCCCAGGCCAGTTACGGTAGATGTGGACTCAGACGTCACTCTAAACTGCAAGTGGTCTGGAAACCCCCCTCTCACCCTCACCTGGACGAAGAAGGGCTCCAGCATGGTGAGAACAAACCATCAAGCCTTCCCCTGACCTTTGAGCTTGAAGCCTTACTTTTATATTCACAACCGATTTAAGTTTTAATTTCACTAAAATGTCACTTTTTTTTGTACTTTGAATGCAAATTATGTGCCTGGGTGCATAAAAAAGCATCAAAATGCTAGAGGAGGATCCCGTGACCCAATAGAGGTCCTGAATTGCCTAAAATCCTAAAAACAACCCCTGCATCTACCTGACCTGTGCGGGGCTGCTGCAACTGGATTTGCATTGTTTATTCATTTTATCAGATAAATATTACTAATATATGTTTATTAGCTGTCCCTTGCCTCCTCTCATTGTGTAAAAGTGGCCCCAGGCAAAGCAAGATGCGTATTCCTGGTATACATTACCCCATTCTTGGGATAAATCATATTCCTAGGACTTTAGCCAAATCCTCCAAAAAACCCAGTCCCAGCCTATATTAATGTTGAAGATCTAGACTTCATAAATGTTTGCTCAGTTGTAAAGCACACTATAAGAAGTGAGACTCAGTCTTCATATCTTAAATCTTTAATTCATGCCTAACAAGTTAAGAAAAGCTCCAGGAAAAAACTAATGGAGCCTGCTGAGTAAATCAACATGTTTTATGAATTAAATATAGATCTCCCTCCCTCTTTTTAACATCTCTCCCCGTCTGTCTATCTCCACCTCACACAGCTACCTTCCTACTTCTCATGCATACTTATACTTGTGTATGTGTGTCCAGGTGCTCAGCAACAACAACCAGCTGTATTTGAAGTCGGTGAGCCAGGCCGATGCAGGCCAGTATGTCTGCAAGGCCATCGTGCCCCGGATTGGAGTTGGAGAGACTGAAGTTACGCTCACTGTCAACGGTCAGTTACTCTCTACTTACGCTGCTATTAATAACTGTGCTGATATTTTCAAAAATTTTAAAAACATGTAGAACAGATCTTCCTACTCACAGCAAAACTCTGCTTCGGGGATATGAATAATGAACCCACACAGACCTCAATGATGTGTTTGTTTCATCTAGAATCATTCTTTCCATTATGCATGCATGTATGTATCTGTACAGTATCTCCCCAAAAGCTGAAGCCACTGGCTGCACAGAGTAGAGTACTGCCTGGGCTTAGAATATCTGTTGACCCTGCCTGATTTATTCAAGTCTAAGCCTGACCCAAACCCACAGCTAATTTTTCAGCTCTGAACAGGCCCAAAGCCAACATTTCAATGTCAAAACTCTCTCCCCAAGAGACCAGCAGTTACTTAATAAATCAAAACTAAATTGCCAAAGACACAATGACAGAAGAGAGAGTTCACAAATGCTCCTTAAATCTTCGCCAACTGATTAGGTGGGACATTCAGCGGCACGTCCTTGCGAAATACGTGGTGCTGAAAGCTCTTGTTCACGAACTGGATGATATGTTTACACAGATAATACAGACATAAGGATTTGCATCATCCACTCCTTTCACACCATTGGCTACAAACCACGATGCATATTTTTTGTGGAACTGTTCATACTGCAGCAGAGCAAAGTTATTGGAACACAGCTAATATGATCACTGTATTGTTTTGGGTCCTCAAGCTGGCTCTATACATAACTTGACACATTAGGTTAACTGTGGTGCTGCTGGTTATGATTCATATTTCAGCATCAGAATTCACCCATTTAACATTAAAGGCATCATACTTGATCATGCTGTATAATTCCCACAGCAACTGTGTTTACATTCTGTCACTTAGCAGTGGTGGTCTCTGCACATACTTACATCAAGTTAACCTTTATTTCGCCTTGACTCACAACTGAATTGGAGTCTGTTGCTGTGCAGTTGCTGGGTCTAAGTTCTTTCATTCATTGTGCAATATGAGCAACAATTATGTGTCTTTGCTAGATATGTTGAGGGAAATCAGCCGCTGAGTCTTTCTGCAGCTTCCTCATGGTGTTACTGCTGCCGCCATACCACCAACGTTTTGTTTGCACATCAGCTACAGCATAAAACAAGGTGTACTATTGTCTCACAGCAAGAGGGTTCTGGTTTTGAACCCACCGGACAGCTTGGGCCCTTCTGTGTGGAGTTTGTATGCTCTCCCTGCATCAGCGTGGGTTTTTTCAGGGTACTCCGGCTTCCTCCCACAGTCCAAAGACATGCAGATTAGGTTAACTGTTGACTCCAAATAGCCTGTAGGTGTGAATGTGAGCATGAATGGCTGTCTGTCTCAATGTGTCAGCCCTGTAATAGTCTGGCGACCTGTCCAGGGTGTAGCCCCCTCCTGCCTAATGTCAGCTGGAATTGCTTTCAGGCCCCAACAATCCTGTAAACAGAAAACAGTTACAGATAATGCATGGGTGGATTTACAACTGATAAAGAGCATGGACACAGGGGTTCCAAGTTCACCAAAGCTGAACTCTATTCGATGGCACCACATGAAATTTGAAATGTTGATTTAAAGGGTGGTGTGAATAGGTCCTAAAGCAAGGGATTTTACAACCTGTGTGACTATTTTCATCTCATCCACAGTTATCAGCTTTATTCATTGAATGGATTCTAGCACTTGGTCATTTTTCTTAATCTCATGTATAAACTTCTAATTGGCTCTGTTCTGATTTTCTTTAAAAATCTTAGAGCATACCTATGGTGTTGTTAAATATATTTCAAAGTCTTCTCACTGGTGGTCTCTGGTTCTTATCATAAGGGTTGATATCGTAATGACTTGTTGATTTGTTGTTACTTCTCAAACCTTATGATTTGTTGAAGTAAATCTTCTATCTCTCTCTGTATTTTCCATCTCTCCTTCTCTCATCCTGCCTCACTCACTCAGGCCCTCCCATCATCTCCAGTGATCCAGTCCAGTACGCTGTCAGAGGGGAGAGAGGAGAGATCAAGTGTTACATTGCCAGCACCCCCCCACCTGATAAGATTGTAAGTCTATCCTTGGAAGTTGTAATCTGCCGCAGAGGTGCTCGACCTTTTCAGATTGCATCTGCCTCAAACAGAATCCTGATCACAACACCTCCTTGTCCGCCCTGAAAACAAAATGATTTCTATTTTCTCTCTTCAGCTTGGGTTAAACGATTGGCGAAAGTGGCATTATTCTCCAACTGTGTCACAAGCATGCTAGAACGATCTGTTCCTCCTCTGTGGTGGAAGGTGTGACTCATCAAAAACAGCTGCTGAAGTGTTTGGTTGAAATGAAAAAGGAGACAGAGTACTGTATACATGTTCCACTGAAATGTTGGAGTGCTGCAGATAAGGTACAAGAATTCATGAGAAAATGAGAACACGGCTTCGAGTGGTGCTTATAGTAATAGTTATCTACACTATGAAAGGGTCAGTGCAACATCCATACCATCTTGTTTTTAGTATGAATTGAACCAACCTGCTAAAAATGTTCCAACCCAGTGATCCCTTTCAAAGTGGTAACCATCTTTTCTCTATAAGCAAGCGTTCACACAGATTGCCTCACCAGCAAACTGTAATGGAATATCCTCCTGAATGTGCCGTAACTGCAGAACTGTACGCTGTTTTTTTCATTCCTGCCTTTCTTAAAGCTGCTGAGTGCAATACTAGATCAAACTGCAGTTTAAAATAAAGTGTCTGTGCATTATATAAGTTGCAAAATGAGTGGTACGGTATGTGCCATAAAGCTTTTAAAAAAGGGAATTACCAGGATGCTCACAAATCACACAAAAAAAGCAAGAAAATGGAGATAAATCCAGTAACGACATTTGAGTTTGAAGGCTAGAATGAGTGTGAGAGGGCGAGGGGGTAAAACAGATTGAAATGAGAGGGGGAGAGATGAAGGGAGAGTAAAATTCTGTACCTTTCAGCGTCAATTATCCAATTGTGCAGTGCCGACATGACAGAAATCAGAGCTTTTAGGAAGCTTCAGCCCCCTGCTGCACTGGCAGAGAGCTCAGAGCGTATAATGTGATACGACATTATAGTCTCGGCTTAATGCAGAGACACAAGGACTTATAAGAAATGGAGTATGATGCTGTGTATGTGTGTGTACAGTGTGTGTGTGTGTGTGTGTGTGTGTGTGTGTGTGTGTAAAAGAGGCAATGAGAGACTGAAAGAGAGAGACGGAAATACAGACAGAGGTGGTGCAACTAAATCATTGTGAGAAAAAAGAAAGTGAGGGATTTTGAGAGGCAGACTGTGGAGACAGAAAAGACGCATTATGTAAGATTGTCGGAGAGAAAAAAAAGCAGAAGATTTTTTTTTTTATTTCTCCCTCATCCACTCATGATCACATTCTTCTTGTTCATTTTTTTTTCAAAACCAGGTTAAAAGGTACATTAGCCCAACATATGGCTCTATGTATATTTGATATCGCCATGTTCCATATTTAATACCCTCAAATTTCTACCTCAGCAGATTTTAAGTAGAAAAACCTGCTTGAGTTTTTATCGCTCATGTACACTCGCTGCACTGTGTGTGTATGTGTGTGAGTGTGTGTCTGTTCTGATTTATTTGTGAGGAAATTCTTTCTTTCCTGGCCTGAAAAGTTGCTGCACAAACTTTAATTAGGCACATACTGTACCAGGAGAAAAAAAGTAGATAGTTACCAAGGTGTGAGAATATAATTTGTTTTGCTTAGAATGTATTTCCTGCCCAGACTCGCTTTAGTCTCTCTTAACCTTTCTTAACACCAGCCCATCTGTTTGCTGAATGTTTACTTGTGATTATGTGCGTGTGTGTGTGTTTTGCGTCTGGATGTGAGTCTATTGTGGTTAATACTACATAAGATAAGATAAAGTGAAATTAGCATTATTGATCCCTGAGGGGAAATCGGGTGATTGCAGCAGTAAGGAGTGGAGTTTAGATAAAAATCAAACAAACGAAACATATTGGAAATTGCATGCTAGCTATCCCATCAGCTTGAAGGACTTTTCCTGCTGTGTTGATTAGGAACAGATTTATAGATTTGCAAATGTTTTAGTGTACAGATGTACCAAGCCTTTGATCTTATCTGAATCCTATATTGATGTACACCTGCTTTACCATTTTAATGCAATCCGTTTAAGTGGCAGATCACACAAAGTGAGGTTGAGAGCAGGTTTTGCCTACAAAGTACTCTCTAGTGGTCTGTAACCACGGATTACATACTAAGTGTGTTATGTATAAACTTATATTTCACTTTTTAAATACATTTACATTTACTGCACTGGGTCAAAAACCGGTGTTGGTCATACTAAAAAAGTATGTGAAGAGGTCATGTGACCTATATCACATTACATCATATGAAGTTTTAAACTGAACACCTGTCCACAGTGCATTTTACTTCCTGATCAAGACTGTTTAAGTCTAAACACATTAGTCATCCAATAAAGATTTATTGGCAGAAATGGAATATAATATACGTATGTGGTCTTTAGATTATAATCACCTGAAAATAGGGTGAAAATTTCCTCACTTTAGAATGAGCCGTTTTTATCTATTTAGGGAGCAAGTCCTCGTCCACAGAGTCGGAGATTTTTTCCACCGTGTTTCTACAGAAGTTCAGAACCAACAAACCAAACACTAGCTCTAGAGAGGGCCATTTATGTTTCACATTGGCCACCATAGTTAGCGACAAGCCACTGATTTTTAATATCAAACTGATTTATTCTGGGTTTTTTTACTGGTTTAAATCACTGGGTCTGTTTGCTTTGGAGAGCAAGAGACCTCTGCAGATAACTTGGCTCTAAGTAAAAACCTCCTTGTCAGAGAAAAAAGATGAAGCAAGCTGAACAGCATCGAAATTGCACCGACTTGGAACATGATTTGTAATCTGTGGCTCATGGTAAGAACCCTCTGAACAATGAACACTGAAGGAATCCTAACTGGAAGTTCACACTTGGCACGTGGGAGAAGTTTCAGCTGGTTGCAATCTGCAATCCTCACCACTAGATGCCACTGAATCCTACAAACTGCTCCTTTTACACCTTTCCCCAGTGCACTTTGTAACCTGATTAAGACTGTTAAGATTAAATGTATAGGTAGATAATAAAGTAAATAAAAGACAAGGAGAAAAACTATAAAAACACTTTCATGAATAAGTTTTGCCAAGAGATTTTAAAGTTACCAAGTACCAACTTGGTTAACCTTAGATATTCGTAAGGCAGTCCGAGTCACTCTTGGTAATCAGGTAAGTTGTTGAAAAAATCAGGAGAGCCCTCTATAAGGATCTCAGACTACACTTTGGCTCAAAAGGGACTGACATATCTATATACATTATGCAGCAGCTCATCTTGATACAGATGTATAGTTCCATCCTCCTCTTTATTTTTTCATCAAGTTCAGGACCAACATGTCAGTCATCTGAAAAAATCTAGAGGCTAAATAATCCTTCTAAATTTTGTGTTTAAGGTTTGGGCTTGGAAGGAGAACGTGTGGGAGAAGGAGAAGGGCACCCTGATGGAGAGGTACACCGTGGAGCAGAGTAAACCACCATCCCAGGGCGGGGCCGTCCTCTCCACCCTCACCATCAACAACGTCATGGAGTCTGACTTCCACTCGCCTTACAACTGCACCGCCTGGAACTCCTTCGGACCCGGCACCATGATCATCACACTGGAGGAGACGGGTATGGAAAAACCCAAAAGGGGGGAAATAACTGCGACTGTGGGTGTCAGTTGAATATGACAGTGTATCATGTCATGGTTTGTTACACAGTCTCTTTTATAGCGTTTATCACCGTAATAGAGCAGATCGAGCTGGGCACCAGCGTCTGAAGTATCATTAACATGATGTCATCAGTGGTTGCTCCACTTTGAAATGCAAATAGACAATTGTTTTTGGTTGAACCTATCATTATAAAGTAAATGTTGATGGCAAAATGTCATGGTTTTAGATTGGTTCTTGATTTAGATTTAGATGAGCAGATTGATAGATTTAGATTGGCTCCCTATAAACCTCGCTTTCATTATACAATTCTGTCCACCCTTGGGTACAATCTCCTGGGAAAATTAAGGCTTGATTTATGAGATAAAGGAAAACGACAGTGCTTTTGTTTTCCCTAGTAGCTGTTGGTGGCTATCCTTAGTTACCAAAGAGATAAGTTCTTTGCAGTTACTGTCCCCAGTAGTGGAAATGGAGGACAGTGGAGCAACCAAATTAATTGTCTCTTTCCACTTTAAATGACAAATAAGTTGATGGCAGCAAACAAAGTGATTATGGCAAATAATATTTGTCACAAACACAAGTCAAAATCTACCCACAGTAAGGGTTTTACACACTACACTCTATACTAAGATGGCACCCATTCATTCTAATAAAAATTGGTTTGCTTCATTGTGCTTTGTTGTCATGCACATAAAAAAAGAGAAACATTACAATCATAAATCTACATGGTCCAAAGCTTCATAAAAGAAAGACTGACATTTAAGTTGTGCTTTCCACACTTTTACAGGTATCACTTTTATAATGGCAGTCCATGAAGAAAATGTTTTTTAGCACACAGGGAATGTTTTTATTGCAGTACTGCAGTTGGCCACTGGATCCTTAGAGACCATTTAAAGACCTTAAAAAATTAGCATTATGTTTAAAAAAAAAAGAGCAGAAGAAGACTGCTCATGTAAACAATGAATGTTTTTAAAACCTTAAAGGTCTAGTGTTTAGGATTTAGTAACATCTAGTGGTGCGTTTGCAGATCTGAAACTTTTTGGACACGAAAAGTGAAAATGCAAATGGCCTACCCAGAGACAGTGTCTGGTTTGTCCATTCTGGGCTTCTGTAGAACAAGGTGGCGGGCTCCATGAAAGAGGACCCACTCTGTATGTAGATATAATGGGCTCTTTTTAAGATAATGAAAATACAGTGATTCTTATTTTCAGGTGATGATAAACGAACGAAAACATATGAATATCATATACAATTTTTGCCAATAGATACGCCTAAATCCTACAAATTGGACCTTCAAAGTCTTTGCTAATATTCTAAACGATAAGAAACACGTTCAACCTCTTTCTTAGACCTTTAAGTAAAAGTACAAGCACACAGGTAGCATAATACACAGTCTTCTACGGCAGTACACCAGGGAAGAACTTCTACATGAAGCTGGCAGGCGTGGACATAATCAGTGCAGGTTTCCTAATGTTATATGAGGAAAGAAATGTATTCATCATGTTTGTAACACATTCTACGGAGAAATGTGGAGTGCAAGCTAAACAGTGTTTGTTTACAATGAAAATTGCACACAGTATCTTAAATGTCTCTGAGTATGTTGCTCTTCTCCTTCTCACGAATTGCAGTGCCCTTGAGCAAGATTATTACACAGTGGCCTCCACTGGAGGACAGAAGATAGATAGAGTGTTATAAGTCCATTCTAGATGGTTACGCATTTTATTGTGAGGACTTGGTATGTCACATTACATTGAGAAAATTATTTCTTCATGCTCTGTCAGTCTTATCTGGCTCTTATTCTTTCAGCTGTCAGATTTCGCAAGCTTCAGAAAATCTACCAAAATATCTTCGAGAGAGAAAGAGAGCAAGAGAGAGAGAGAGAGCTTTTTTATCCCTTGTCTGACTTGCATGCCTTATCAACATTTAAGCAGCCTTCGGAGACTTAATATTAAGCTAGGACACACGATTTATACTTAAACGACACAAGATCCGTGCAAGTTTCTGTAACAATGAGGCAGCAGCTGTCCCTCAACCCTGACACTTCTATGCTTGTGTTTGTTTCAGATATCGTTCCGGTGGGAATTATCGCCGGTGGTACGGTGGGCTCCTCCATTCTGCTGCTTATGTTTCTACTGGCGCTTGCCTTCTTCCTGTACCGCCAACGCAAAGGCAGTAAGTGCACACAGTGGTTCTCTATGTGTGTGTGTGTGTGTGTGTGTGTGTGTGTGTAGGGCACACACACACACATACTGTATGTGTCTATCAGTCTTTCTTTCATCCACTCACCCTATCTGTCATTCTGCTTCTCCACGTTCGAAGAAAGGAACATATGCCAGCTGTATAGCATTTTATTCAAATGAGATTAATGAATATTCATATAATATGGCAAACTGCCTTAAAACGCCTACTGTACCCTTTTCATTCTGCGGACATGGAATTGTATGATTATTTTTTAAATAAACTGTATTTATGTGCCACTTGTACACCCGATAAAGTACGTAAATAACAGGGCAGAAAACAAGAGCATTTAAAGGCAAATAGTATTTAAATGATGAATTCCTATATGTTATTTCTACAGCCAAAGGCAAATCCAATTAGCATTTATGAGCACAAACCACACTTCTGCAAACCAGGGAGCTAAGAACATGTGGTGTCTTTAAGTTGTTTCATTCTGAGCTGCTCCACAGCAAATAAAGAATTGGGAAAGACAATGAAGGTGACTGGCAGAGTCCCCAGAGGGATTTTCTGGGGATAAGAGTATATTTTCTGGTTCAGAGCTGATAACACCACTACAGAAAAGATACCATTTGGAAATAGAAACTCAAACAAACATCGTTGCTGCTCCAGATAAGCTGTCTCTCATTTGTTGTGCGATGCTGCAGCTCCAGACTTCACAGATTTAAATCTTTACTTTTAAGGTCTCAGCTTTTGGAAGAGAGTTGTTCATGTTGACAAATATTGACTGCTCAGTGCTAGGGATAGATTTAAATGAGTAGTATTATCATTTCAGGTTACACAAGGCAATTTTACTAGGGAAATTTACCTGCTTTACTAGCCTAAAATTCCAGTTTCTGCTGCATAACTCCTACATAACTAGTCTAACTAAAAGCCTCTTAATGAAATGACATCAAATATGTTTAATCCCTACCTATGCATATTTAACCGTGCGCTGCTGTTGCTATTATGTTAATGTGACAGCACTCAGTTCAGACTTAAACCACGTTACAGAAATATTACTAGATCCTAATAAGATTGCCATCATCACTTTAAAGTGATGCTGGTGCTCATCAAATATGAGACAAACATGTAAATTTGCCCACACATGTAAGCACAGTAACAAGGTGCGTGGCTGAAAAGGGCATAAACTACTGAAGATTCATCTTTTGCTCAGAATATTGTGTCTTTTTTTCTGTTGCATAGTTGTTGACCATGACTGAAACAAGAAACTTAAAGGTATACTATGCAGGATTTTCCTTGAAAAAGTCTACACTGGGGCGCTGGTGGCTTAGTGGTAGAGCAGGCGCCCCATGTACAAGGCTGTTGCTGCAGCGGCCCGGGTTCGACTCCAGCCTGTGGCCCTTTGCTGCATGTCACTCCCTCTCTCTCTCTCCCCCCTTCACGCTTGTCTGTCCTATACATTAAAGGCTAAAAAGCCCCCCAAAATATCTTTTAAAAAAAAAAGTCAACACTGTATAGACTCATTACAAAAGTAATCCCTCTCAGTCATCGCTTATGACAAACTGGAAGTGTGCAGTGGTGAATTTATCTGCAGAGACTCTGCCCTGTGCCTCTATTTTCTTATTTTCTTCTTCTTTTGTTGTGTTCAGGACATTTCTGGTCACAGCGCGCAGGTAAGGTAAGAGCTTTATAAAAAGCAGCCAGGTGGCACACATTTAAGGAGAAGCTACGAAGATCGCTGCCAAAAAAAAAAAAAATACAGTATACATATATATATATATATATATATATATATAGTGAGGTGAAACACCAAGTGGACATGCTTGGGTTGGCTTTCACGTTCCCAGGAGATACTGTTTACAAACAGTAGCCAACAATTCCTGTAAAGTATACCTTTAAGAGAAAACTGGGATGAATGTCTTAGTCTTAACCTTCAAGTCTCAAGCAAGTCCCAAGTTACTGTGGTGAGAATCAACCAAGTCAAGTCCCTACTATAAGTTAAGCAAGACAAGTCAAGTCATTGCTCGGGTCAGGCAAGTCACAAGTCAAGTCATGTGAAATTGCAATGATTCAATACACTAATAAGAAAGCAACAAAGACACAATTACGTACCTTTCTTTGTGGGTTTTGGAATGACAAATGAAGTTGGATGTTGTGGTGGTCCTGCCACTGATTTCTGAGCTGCAGATCTACCACTTCTTACTACCTTTAGACTAGTCCTCTTTGTGGTAGCTGCCACGTGTTGGTCTGCCACATCCTAGTAGGTTGCCAGGTCTGCGCACATTGCACTAAAAACAAAAACAAAACTTAACCTCTTAGTGTTAAGAAAAATGCAAATATCTAATATCAAAGTCAAGTCCTTTTGAGTCATCTGTCTCAAGTTTAAGTCAAGTCTGAAGTCATGAACACTGAGTCAAAGTCAAGAATTTTAATCAGTGTTAGTTGAGCAAGTCTCCAGTCTTTAAATTTACAACTAAAGTCTGACTTGAGTCAAGTCATGTGACTCAAGTCCCCCACCTCTGCCACCTTCTGCTCCACCAAAAAACTCAAGAGAAAATATGTAATTGTTGAGCAGTCTACAGCTCATTGATGTTACTTTATTATGTATGATTTCTGAGTGATAAAGTCCTTAGATACCTTTTCCTGGTATTTGAGACTAAATGACTCAATGCAGAATTAAAGCCCCTATATGCAGAGTTTTTTATGTGGTGATAACATCTCTCAGTTTCAGAAGTTTTTGCTTTTAGGAAAAAGAGACAATCCCACAGTGTCTATTTTAAACTGCCACTAGGAGTCACCAATGCCATTTAGCTGCTTTAAACTTAGTAAAATAGCATAAAATTAATATTGGCTCTCAGTACAAATGTGTGGATTAAAATAAATGATCATCAACAATCAAAAGTCTGGGGCGCATGGTGGTGCGCTGTTAGCACGGTTAGCACTGTTGCCTCACAGCCAGAGGGTTCAGGACCCTTCTGTGTGGAGTTTGCATGGTCTCCCCATGTCAGTGTGGGGCCTCTGCAGGTTCTCTGGATTCCTCCCACAGTCACGCAGATTAGATTAGTCGGTGACTCTAAATTGCCCATGGGTGTGAATGTGAGTGTGAATGTTTCTCTGTATGTGTCAGCCTTGTCTGGCAACCTGTCCAGAGTGTACCCCACCTCTTGTCCAGTGTCAGCTGGGAAAGGCTCCAGCCAAATACTGAAGAAAATAAAGGAAACAAGGCCAGTGGACAAGACAAGTCAGATGAAAACAGCATTAAACAGAATAAAGTGTTGTTTTTGTTTCTTTTCTAAAAATAAATCAATAATTTATCTTGACCCAGAGTATGACCGGAGGTTGTGTTTTTCTTCCAGGTCGCCGAGGTGTCACCCTCGGTAAACCAGACATCAAGGTAGAGACAGTCAACAAAGAGACCCACAGCCTGGAGGAGGAGGCAGCCGACGTCTCCACAGCAACCCGGATGGTCAAGGCCATGTACTCCGTGAGTAAACACCCATCTGAGTCACCGGGGGCCGTGGAGAGGAGGCGTATGGGTCAATGGGCTTAAATGTACAGATACACCGACACAAAGGGCGACGTGGCAGGAGAGGCAGAGACACACACTCGCACTTGAAAGTACACACACACATCCGCACAGAGTAAAACAGATGCCCAAGGCTTGTCTGCAAATAAACACAAGAAAAACATCAACAACGCACACACTCAACCCAAAATCAAGAAAGCACATAATGCGCTGCTCATATATAAGGATGAAGAAGATGGACAGACAAGAAAGCACCTATACATGCGATAGATGCACAAACAACCTTGCAACACACACATACACACACTCTCTTTAACATTGTGTTCCTTTTAGAAAAGCGTTCACCCCGGGAAGACCTGGAGAATCAAATCGGCGTCGCTCATTTGGAGCGGTTATAAAGTTCGGTCCGAAACCTTTTTTCCAATAAATAACCGTTTCTCGTCTTCCACTCTCTTGGGATGAAAAACCTGAAACTCTGTTTTCCTCTCCCCTCCCTCTCTTCCTCCTCCTTTCCTTTCTCACCCTCCCTCTTTCCGTGTGTGTGTTTCGTTGTTTGATGGTTTAGTTTCTGCCCTCTGTTTCCCTCTCTCCCTCCACTCAGCCATTCAAAGACGACATGGACCTGAAGCAGGACATCAGGAGCGAGAGCGACACCAGGGAGGAGTACGAGCTCAAGGTGAGATGGCAGCTCATGTTAGCATTTTGACTTTGGATTTTTTTTTTTTCTGCAACATCTTGAATATTTTATCCTGCATGGTGCACAGACAATCTGACATATCATATGTCATGAACTTTGTGGTCATATTCATCATTAAGTATCAGTTACAAGTTCCTACTTTTTCCTCAGGTCCAGCATTTGTACTGCGGTTAAAAGTTTGATTTTTATAATAATACCATTTTTTTCACAATCTGTGCCACTGAATTCACAAGTACAGATGTTGGTGATTTTGCATCATTTGCAGGATTCTGCTCAGACCGTGATCAAGCCTTTATTTTGGTTTCTTTAATCTGGAGTGGTGCGAAAATCTCCTTATAACCTCAAACCTTGTGTTTTGAGGTTATAAGGAGTAGTAGTTAGTAGTTCTCACTACCACAAACTATGCAAACTAAAGGAGGAAACAAATTGCTTCAAACATATATGGTGTGACACCAGCCTAGTAGAACCTTTATTCCAGAATTAGCTGTTCCCCAGGTAAGCTTCCTTTCACCTTGTATTGGAAACCGTGGTTATTCTGGTAAAATGAAGTTGTATCATTATGTCTCGTGTTCATACACATACTGTGGGCTGCGTCACTCACACGCCATTACATTTTGGACATAGCATGAGCAACAGCACGTCACCAACTGCACCGACATCACCATCCATACCAGCCTGCACTGTGACTAACAATATATTGTACATACAATGAAAGAAGTATGTAGTAATACAAGGCCAAGCTTGGCCTTAGCTAGGCTTAGGTGTTTTTACCACTTAGCAAAATGTTGTTGCTTCGCATAATATCCAACTAATGTTCTCCCCTCTGATCACAGGATCCAACAAATGGTTACTACAATGTCCGAGCCACCACCCATGATGAGGCGCGCCCCCAGTCCCGTGCCATCCACTACCAGGGCGAATTCCGTTCCCCGAACCCAAACAGCGGACCAGCCGGTGCCACCTCCAGCGGACCCCCAGCTGGCGCCAGTGGTGCTGTTCCCCCCAGTGCAGTGCCAGGTTCAAGGGCAGGCTGCTATGACCCTCGCCCACCTTCCAGGATGTCCCATGCCACCTATGCTCAGTTCAACACCTTCACCAGGGTGGCGCAGAGCCAGCAAGCACCTCCCAATCCAGCTCTTCAGTCACCTGGAGAATACCCCGGAGACTGCGGCCTGCTGGACAGCACAACACAGCTGGCCTACGACAACTACGGATACCCTTCCCAGTATCCCAGCTACCGAATGGGCTTTGCTCCGCCCATAGAAGAGGGACCAGCCTATGAGATGTATCCAACAGGACAAGGGACCGGGCCAGGGCCAGGGCCGGGTCCCGGGCCTGGACAGCAAAGTCCTGAAACAGGGCTGGGGCAGTATGGAACCGCCACTCGCTTCTCGTATTCGTCTCCACCCTCTGACTATTCCCAAAGACACACACAGCGGATGCAGACTCATGTTTGAGAAACACACACTCTTTGACTTGCTTTTTGCAGCTGCAGTACTTATTACACATAAAACAAAAACACAAAAAAATAAAAAATACATAAACATTTGAGATTCAGTTTTAAGATTCCATTGCATCCAGTGCATGGAATTTGGTTCATTTTCTGAACCAATAAAACATCACAACAATGCACAGCAGTTAGCAGCATCGCATATAATACAGTTAGCAGCAATACATACAACATGCAAAGCGACATTCACACACATTTGCGCAAACCCTCTGTTGCGTGCAGTGTTTATGCTCCATTGAAAGCAACAGCGAGAGCCACAATCAAGAGAAAAGAGACAAAAAGAGAAGAAGAGCACTTTGAAGACAGGAAGAAGAAGAGCGCCAGGAGCTTAAGGAGGAACAGAGGAACCTTTTTCTTCCTGCAATCCTCGTCTTGCTCTTGGATCATCTCCCTGCATCACATTTCCCTCCCACCCCATCTCTGTAAATAAGTGCAAATGGAGATTTGGGTCATTTTGAAGTTATTTCCTTGTACAAACCTATACAGTGTGATGCAGTACAGTGACCTACAGCAACCCTCCCTGTAATCCACACATTTTGCATTTTCTGACTCTCACATATTGCAAAAAACACACACATAAACAAATCTTTGAAGACTTATTTGTTTTGATGTATTGCAGCAAAGGGCAGCTTGGACTATAAATATATTTGGCACTTTTTGATCCCTTTTTCTCACTTAAAACGTGCCCAGTGGCCATTGCTTTCAAGATCTACCTTGATTTAAGTGGGGCAGAGCTTCTTAAAGTGGTACAGTTAGTGACCAGAGTGCCAATGCTTATGTGCCAATACACACAAACTGTTATGGTGTGTCTTCTTTTGTAAAAAGTGGACAATAAGGTGGTCTGGATGAAGAGGTTTTGTACATGCCACATCTGAGAGGAAAGGAAAGGAGTGGTAGCAAGCGTCTCTGTATGCTCATTCTTCTCCTCATCTGTCATTTTTAATCATCATGATACATTTCTATACTTAACATTTCACACGAGGTCAATGCTGTATACAGTGTTTGTGAAACGAGGTGCGGCGGGAGCACTTTTTCATTCAATGAATTTCTGCAATTTGTACAAAAAGATACCTCCCCTACCCTCAAGTGTCAAACAGTATTTGTTTCTCTCACTTGCACAGTAGTATAGATTTTTTTTCCATATTTATACCGAAACGTATGAAAAAAAATGGCATTCAGAAACATTTTATAGTATTTTTATAAGGAGTTGTGGACCAAAGGTTCAGCGTTTTGGGTGAAACTCACTTTTTAATGTGTATGTGGCGACATGATCGTTATTGGAAACGTTTTGAGTTTCTTTGAAAAGCGATGGATGGTGTTTTTCAAGTGGATGTTGTAGACTTAAATTAGAAAATTTGAAGAGCTTCATTCCAAAATGATAAATATCCAGCAAGGGCAAATCTGTTTGGTGGATATCTCTGTTTGGTGTGAAACTCTTTCTTTGACTTCCAGTCTTCTGACTGGACTGCCTTTTTCGCACGTCGACGACATTCAAAATGATGGATGGAGAACAAACAGCTGCTCACTCTGAGCTGTGCTGTGAACTTTGTAAGCGATGAGAAGGTTCAAGTGTAGTCTAACATATCAAAATGAAGGTACAGAGGGTTCTATCTAGCTCATATGGTACTTTGTACATTTATATGTAAGTATACTGGTTTGTTCACTGCAACAGAATATTTGGTGGTATTTTATGTCTGAGATTTTTTCATTATATTGTGTCAGCTGTGGTACGTGTGGTTGGCCTTTAACCTCACAGGTTCATAATGATCAGCATTTAAAATGTTGCTACTAACCTCTAACCTCTACTGATGCAGCTATTATACATGTTTTAATGAATCTCTACCACCCCACTATCAAATTATTTTCCACCAAGAGAGAAGATTAAATTTGTATGGCCGACAGGATCTCGCAGCGCCTGCAGTCGTAGTTTTGTTTAATTACTCAACACCAACCAAGACCAAATTCACACTATGGTCAGCTTGCAAAAAGCAGTGTGAATGTACCTGTCTGCAGTTTGAACCATTAAATGATTTACTCTTTTCTTTCCTGATATCAATATTTTGATGACTTATTATAATTAAGATAGTATAAAAAAGAAGCCTTACTCATAGAAAAAAGTTGTCTCAGTGTTAACTATGGATGCAACCACTGACCCAGGATTGAAGACATTTATTTCATAGTTATAGAGAACTAAAAACTTTGAATGGCTGCATTTGGCTCCATTTTGCATTCTCCATATAGAAAACAATCAGACATCTTATTGGCTGTTGATGAGCAGTGAGCCCAAGAATTCTGTTTTGGCCAACTTATGTGAGCCATTTCTTCTGACGTTCACCTCTACATGAAACAATTTGACCTCCAGCCCCTTCCACCAGTTGTAGAAATGGTTCATGTTTGCACACTGAACTTTGTGAGAGAGATTGGCTTGCACTCTTCAATGAACCCTCACACAACTTCACCTTTAATGGTGACAATCATGTGCTGATTAGCCTCCACAGCGGCAGATCAATCTTTATTTTATACTGAGGTTGGATTTATAAGGTTCCATCACTAATGTAACCATTTGTCAGCTTTAATTCTTTAAAGGAACAGTGTGTAGGATTTAGGGTGATTTAGTGGCATCTAGTGGTGAGGATTGCAGATTGCAACCAGCTGGAACTTCTCCCGGTTAGATTTCCTGCAATGTTCATTGTTCAAGAGGTTTTAAGTGGGAGTTGAATTATCTGCAGATGTCTCTCCCTCTCCAAATCAGACAGACCAGGTGATTAAAACTGATAGAAACAATGAATAAAGCTGTAACAGGTTTCATTTTTTTTGCGCTGTTAAACTCGTAAGCGATGGGCCTCTAGTCTAATACCTGCCAATCAGTGCTCACAATTTCTCCTCTGATAACATAAGATGCAGATGTTCAGGAGTTCAGCAGAGGTCTTTTCCTCTCCAAAACAAATTAAACTGGTGATTTAAACCAGTAAAACCACTGAATCAAGCAGTTTCACATTTAGAAATCCGTGTTTTTATGACCACTACAGAGGCCGAGGCAAAAATGTGAATGGTCCATCTAAAGCCTATTTAGACTGACAGAAAGGCTGCTAACTATGGAGGACAATGCGAAACATGAATGGCCCTATCTAGAGCCATTGTTTGGTTTGTTCATTCTGGGCTACTGTAGAAACATAGCAGTGCAACATGGTGTTCTTCATAGACAAGGACCTGCTCCCTGTGTCGATATAAACAGGTAATTCTTAGGCAAAAAACACACTTCTAATTTTCAAGCAATTATACGCTAACATAGTTATTGTATTATATTCCATTTCTGCCAATATATCCCCCTAAGTCCTACACACTGAACCTTTAAGGGACACTGAATAGTACATGACTCTTTTAAACTTGTTTCAGCAACCACCAGGAATTGCTTCGACATTTTATTTTTCATCTTGTCTTAAGGGCACATATGCTTTATTGGATAGTCAAAGTAAAGAGGTTCTGTGTGAAATAAAGAGTCACCCTCTTCTATCTCTGCCTTACATTTTTGAGCAGTTAAAAAAATGATAGCCGATGAGACGAGGCTTTACAGAAGACCAGAGGCTGTAGAGTGAAGCCAGATATCTCAGCACCTCCAGAGGTAATCATTGAGTCTTTATACTTATCAGCCACCCTATCAACCCCTCACAGTTACAGTATATTATGGTAATTCTGCACAAAGGAGCAGTAAAAGTTGTATTTATTGCCCCTATTTTGAATAAACACTTTCAGGAAGCAAACTGCATCAGATGGAACCTTGTAGCTCCAAGGTCACCATATAAACCATTTCAGTAGTTAGAGAGAGAAGAACGGCAGATGGAGCACCCTTTTAAATTTATATGGTTATCACAGCCTTGGTACTGCATACTATTACCTCTTTACAACCTTTTTACAGAGTTGTAGCTGTGCAGTATTTTGCATCTGACTTGAAATGTCGTTATGACCTTGTGTAGAATAAGTAAATTTGACACGGAGGAGACCAACAAACACCGGCAGGCCGTCCAGGTACTTAGTCATTACCTCTTAACTGTTTACAGTCTGTTTACAGTGGGGATGTATAAATATGTAAAAGACAGAAAGCCAAAAATGCAAAATATGTTTAGATTTGATTTAGCAATGAAAATGATATGCAGTTACGGTAATCTGGAAGAGTTTACTCCGCTAAGTTGTCATTTCATGTCTTTTTCCTCCTTCTCCATACATTATACCTCGCTGTACTCTCTCCCCTGTGTCATATTAACAGTCACCTACCAGCTGCCGAATTAAGAGGCTGAACCTGTCTTCATGGAGAAAAAAAAACTCATTACAACATAGCAATCCTTTCTCTCATCAGTTTCTTCCAAATTTTCTTCGAGCTGATAACATATGGAGTAGATATAACAATCTTAGCTTGCATTAATGTATGTATGTTGGGGGGGTTGGGAGTCTGTAGAGAATATATAGTGTCATGAACTCATGGCATCATCCTCATTTATTTCTTTTTCTTTCTATGAAAATCAGTATTTGAAATCTTACTTTCTTGGTATTACTTTGTGGTGTTACCTCGTCAGTGGAGGAAATGGCTGTGGTCAAAAGTGTGTTTGAACTTTTATATACAGTGTGTCATTTTATTTTGTATGCATCAGATGGGGGTGGGTGGGTCTGATTAATCAACCCAGTGGAAAAAAAAAAGAGAGGCCATGTGTGTGTCTGTGGCCAAACTGACTGCTCAGCCAGGCCACAAATAGCCAAAACTCTGTCTCAACTAGGCCAACCCAGGCTAGAACCAGGCCAGGCCCACAGCTAACTGCTCTGTTCCATGCTGTGCTGTGCTGCGCCATCTCTGGCCAAGACTGACTCGAGTGGCTCAGTGTCCGTTTTTACCTTGTGGAGTCTTCAGTGAGTGCCAAAAGACTGTGCAAAAAATGAACTGAGCAGACAAACAAATGCAGCAGCCATTTGTGTTTATCGTGTTTATGTGAATGTTGCTTGTGTGTGTGTGTGTGTGTGTGTGTGTGTGTGTGTGTGTGTGTGTGTGTGTATGTGTGTTTGCGCTACCCGTCTGTATTATCATACATGCACATTTACTGTATGTGTCCATATGTGAACATACACGTGTGTGTGTGTGTGTGTGTGTGTGTGTGTGTGTGTGTGTGTATTTGTGTGTTTGTAGCCTGTAACACCAGTGTGTTTTCATACCATTATAAATTTGTTAGGACCACTGGACTGTGAAAATTAGGGTTTGAGTGATTTGACTGTTTTGGGTAAATATCAGACATTAGCAACATTTTTCCTCAATTTCTGTGTAAAATGTTGATTGCTCCTATTTGTAGCAACAGTTACTGCAGCCTTCATTTCAACTATAAATTATGTAGGAGGGACAGGATACAGCACTAGCAACCAATGGTTAAGGCAAAACAAAATAACCTTGACTCCAACAAACATCGGCCAACATTATCATGATGTCAGACTGAATAATGAAGTGAAATGAAATGCTAGTTCAGTCTGACTTGCAGGCTAGTGATCAGAAACACAAGGTGCTCTCCATTTGTTGCTATCCTGGCCTCTTTGCTGCCCCTAGTGGTAAGCAAATGTGTTAATTTCAACAAAGCACCCGGACCTGTGTTATCAAAATGCACTTGCAGCCACCAACATTGATCACAAATAAACCAGGACTAAAATGTTAAGGACTTAAGCTACCTTAAAAAGCTGCAACACGTAACAGAACTTAATCTACATTACATAAAGGCATAAAGTGCTGCAGGGATGTTTATTTGTAGGCCAACAAAGAAGTTAGCATCACCCTGGTTCCCTCGACAAAAAACAAATGGGATTTCTTCATTGGATTTTGGATTAGTGCAGAAAATATGCTCTGTGGCAAACAAAAGTTTATGAGACTTACACGTTTTGTTCACCTAAATCATCTTCACAAATGAACACCACTTGCGTAAATGCAATCTCCAGAAGTACAAAGCTAATGTTAGGCTATAAAGGGACTACACCACAGTCGCACAACTTCACTGTTGTCTTACAATAAGGCTGTAAAGCCGTGTTCGGCATGATGACTGTCTGTACTCTCATTCAGCCATTTGTTAGCAATCGTCTTTTTAAGACATGGGTATTTTTACTGACGTATTTCGCGTTGTAGAAGAAAACTTGAAATCTCTTAGCTTGTGTTAACCATAGGGGTGTAAATCACCAGTTTCATCATGATACGATATTAAAACGATTCTTTTGGCAGTGAAACGATATTTTCTGATATTACAAAGTCTGCCACGATACATTTTGATTCGATAAGATTCAGGGGCCTGTGATCGATATGAGACAATATTATATGCCTATCTACCACAATCTGTTACAGAAGAAGCTGCTACACCCTTTTTTTTAATACTTTTGGCCATAAAAGGTAAAAACAGTACATAAATAGTAAGTGCAATAAAGTTTCCTTTAAACTGACTTTCTGCCAGAAATTCTTCTCTGGAAGAAATCTTTTCATTTTAACCCAAACCATCATGTTTTACCTAAAACTTCAGGGCTATCTGGCTTAAAGCTCTAATTAACAACAACAAGGTCAAATAACAAAAACAAATTCAGCTCATTAATAGCTGTCAAGATACATAGACAAAGCAATTGTTTTTAGCAAGTACCCACCATTAGCTTAAGCATGTTTACATTGCATAAATTAGCCTAGCGGCTAGCAGACTTTTTTTCTCCACTCATAGCTTAACAAATTACATGTAAAGTTATTATTTTTCTTACTCACCCTTGGTTTAAGTCACTGCATCTCCCGAAAGGAGAGTAAGGTTGAATTTCAGCCTGCATGCAAGGTTTTGTTGCTATAGCTGTGTGAGAGTCCAGCCAGGCAAGTAATGTTACGTCGGGTTTTATCTCACAACTGCATTGACCCCTGTTGATCCCTATTTTCTTCATGAACTGAAATATTTCCACACTGATGATTTTTTTTCCATGTAGATACCGTTATCCTCATTGTCTTTCTCTTGGCTAGTTGACATCTGCCTGCTGCTGATCGACAGTGAGGCAGACTTTCAAAATAAAAGTGTATAACATAAAGATGATGATATGGATAGCTGTTCACTTTGCATCGATGATATTGGCTCGTTGATCATATCAATACAGATTGATGGATCGTTACACTCCTACTTAACCACAGACCTTATTTCAGACATCTAACCAAAAACCCATTCCAAAAACTCACTAACTTCAAGACGAACGCACCGGGAGTGCTAAAATGCTATCTCATTTCCTGGTTTTAGGACTCTTTCCTACAGCACTTTATTTCCACCTGGTCAGGGAGATTCAGTTTGAAACTATGTATGTTTGGAATACAAATTGTACATTGTGAAGGTGTTAAATTAAAGAAGCCATATCAGTCAAACCCTAGTATAAAGCAGGACAGCTGGTAAGACAGAGTGAAGGAGACATTGTGTTGCCTTAGGACACAAGGAAGGAGCCGAGCTCGTCCCTCATCCAGCTGCTGAGCCTGTCTGCTCTCTAAAACAGCTGCACGAGTGAACAGGATTAATTGATCTTCAGCTTGATATCGTTAAGCATATGAAGACGATGATCAGCACAGTGAGAAGGATTCCATATTGCACTTAAAAATCTTTGAAGTGGAGGTGTGCAT